CACTCAGCATCTCAGCTCTGCTGCCCAGGCCTGTGCCTCACAGGCTGCTGTAAAAGCCCCTGTCAAGATGCAGCTTTTCCTCACGGGCAGGTGGAAGTGGCACGTTCTATGAGGAATCCTTTAAAACTCATTTTTCTGCTTCTTTTTCTGGATAAAATGCATGTTTCTTCTCGCTGACTTTTCAGCAAAACCATGAACATTTTGATTGCACAAAATCCAAACCACCAAACAACAGTCATGGGAATATTAGTTTTACATTGAGGTTAAAAAACAGATACTTCTGTCCAACTCTTAGATTTCTCTTTAACATAGTCCACTCAGATCAAAGATGTAAAACACTGTCCCAGAACCACAGGTTCTTCAAACTGCTGAGCACCTGTACCTACCTTCCCAGCATCTTTAGGAGCTCAGTGTTTCCAGCCCCTCTGAAAATAAGAAGCTGGAGATATTGGATTGGTAGGTTTGAATGGTCATATTTGTGCATACAGCTTCTTGTATCGGGCCACAACATCTTCCAACATACATATTTCAACATGCCTGAATATCCCAGTTGTGTTTGGGTCAAGCGTTGCAGCCAAGTGATGGCTCCCGGCAGCAGAGCAAATCTGTCTGCTCATCAAACAGCTTGCTTTAGTGATTTCTTCCCTTTCCAAAGGAAAGGACAGTGTAGTTGACAAAGCTGCATTCCTGATCTTTACGGTCACCTTGCTCTTCTCTCTCCTCTTCTGCTGATGTTACGTGTTGTTTTACCCTTCAAGTACAACCTATTGCTTCTAGATTTTCTTGCAATCAGGATTTTAATGTATATTGAGGGTGGGTCCTGTGGAAGAATATGAGGTGGAATACATTGTTTTGAAGGGTCATTCACTGTGGCCACAGATAAGAATTGGCACAAATCACCTTCCAGCAGAATTCCTGCCCATAGACCTGGTATGTCATTGCTGTATTTTGGGTTAAGCAGGCACCTGTAGTATTTTGGGATAAGAATGAGAGCTCTGAAGAAATAAATAGCTGCATGCTGGTGTGGTTTAGTGCTTAGCCCTGAGTCACAACAACCAGCTTCTGTCTCCAGCTGTGTCACCAGTGTGTGGTGTGACCTTGGCATAGGCTGTAAGCTGACTGCACAGGAATTGCATCTTTTTGATTAATTGCCTTGCTCAGAGTTAGATCCCCTTGGTTCGACTGCACAAATAAGTCTTTATTACTGCAGTAACAGCATGAAGTCCTGGCTCAGAAAAAGCAGCTCAATCCACTTCTGGCTTGGGAACTATCAGCACAATTAATTATATTTGAATTGCAGTGTAAAAATTGCCAGGAAGGCAGAGATGCTCAGGCCCACAAACATTGTGTGAGTTTAATTAAAAGGACAATTTCAAGCAGCTTTGGGCACAGATACTTTATACTTCTCCGTTGATTTCGATCAGTGCTTTACTAATGAATTATCAACCAGTTTGAATGAAATGAGTTTTCATTCTGCATGCTGTAAAGTTCTTTGCATGGGAGAGAAGACTGTAGATTGTTTTAGTAATGTGTAAGCTTGCAGGAGGAAGAAGTTTCTCCCTTCCTGGATATTTTACAGGTGGAGATCACAAACACAGCCTCCCCTAGGTGTCCTTCGGTGCAGAGGAGGGCAGTACTCCAGCAGAGCACCCAAGCAGGGATTTCTGCTTTCAGAGGGACTCCTGTGAGCCTGCACCTTGAAGATACCTGAGCTCTTGGCTGGATTACAAGCTCAGCTTTCTGCAGGATGGGGCCCTGTATTTTGTTGGGGAATATAGTGGGTATTCTCTTGGCCTCCTGCTTAAATTCTCAGGCATGCCCAGGAAACTGGATAGGGAATATACTGTCCCAGAAGGGGAGCGATTAATTAAGCAGCTCTGTGCTACCTTCTTGTTTTTAACCCCAGCAGCATCTGGGAACTGAATAAATGCTCTCGGACTTGCTGACCAGAGAGCTCTGATCTGGAGCTCTGGGTCAAGCTGGCTGCAAAGGGAATCATTTCAAAACCTCTCTTCTATACTGTTGTAGCAGATGAAAGGACAGTTAGCATTCCAGACATTATACTGCTCTGCCTGTAGTGGATAAAGCAAAGGGCTCAACAGATTGTTGTTCATTTTGTTGTTGCTTTTTTTTTTTTTTTTTTTTTTTTTTTTACCTAGGCACATTTTGGAATCTGAGCCAATATTTTCAAGCCATTTTTAAATGCTGGAGAAAATCTTGCAGAGGTTTGGGAATGTAAATGATATTGGCATAGGAGATACAGCCCTGGACTGAGGCTCCATTGTGCTAAGTGTCAAATGCATATAGAACAAAATGCCCTTGGTACCGTAACATTGAAGCAGAACCAGCTCCAGTGTCTGCTTTTTAAAGTATTTGTACATGCTCGGTATGATACTGCAGACACGTTCCTTAATAGCAGCTGAAAAACAGTTTGAGGTCAGATTTGTACAGCCTGCATTTGTGTAAAGTCTTACATCCTTATTGTTGCTGTTGTTGAGCACCTTGAATAGTCCATGAAGCTTCAGGGCTGATGTTTTTTATCCATGTAGGTGCTACTCTGTGTACTTGTTAGAGAAGATTGGTCCCAGCAGGGTGGCTACAGCTGTGAAGAAGCTGGAATCAGTGTTCTGAGAGAGCTGTTCTGCACTTCTCCTCCCCAAAATGTCTGGCACAGAGAGGCTTTACTGTAGCAGTGCAAAATCCATCTGTGGCTGTGAAGTGTTTGACCACACTTGACATCTTGGAGCAATAGTTGTTCTTATTTTTTATTTTTTCAGATGGCCTGCAGTCAGTGAGCCCCTTGGAAGATAAATAACTAGACATCATGTTTGAGCTGCTGTCGAGTAAGAAATAAGGACAGTTCAGAGTACTCACAATAGTCTGTATTGCTGGAGTCTGTAATCTGCTACAGTGTCCTGCAAATTACATGTCAGTGATTTGTGCCTTGAGAAATGTGTGTCTAGCTCCTGCTTCCCACTGCAGGCCAGCCTCTGTGTCCTGTGAAGCTCCATAGCAAGTTTTTCACCAGTTCAGCCTTAAGCATTAAACCATTTTGGCCGAGTGAGTCATTGTTTTATGTTTGTTGTTTGTATTGCTATAGCAGTTGAGACTTTTAAGCTTTGGATCCAAGACCTTGTTGTGCCAGGTGCTGTAGGAACATGGAGAGGAAAAAAAAAGTGGTGTGAGGAAGAACATGCATTTCTCTAGAACCTGAGACAACAGATGGCTCCAGATGGGAGAGCACAAGGAACCGATGAGGTAATACTGACCAGTGTGGTGAGCAATGGTGTTGGAATATCACTTATCCAAACATCACTGAGGTTTTTATAGGCACTGTAGCATAGGACAGTTTGAAGGAGGACGATCAAGGCAGGGCAGAAGCTCACAATAATGTCCTATCAAGCACAGAGGAAAGAAGCGTGCTGAAAGGGATCCTGGATAAAAGGATTTGCTGCAAAATCTGGTGTTAGCAGCAGAGATGTTGTGGTCATGTATGGAGTCAGAGCTCAGGAGCGGGAGCTGTGGTTTCTGAAAGCAGACAAACTGTATTTGTTTGAATGGAGAAAGCACAGCCAGTAGGGAGAATAAGCCTACAGGCAGGCTGTGTACTTGAAATCTTGGCCAGGAACTGTTTTCTAATGTGTATACAACTAACAGCTCAAGGAAGAAGAAAGTGCTGCTGTTTTTGATCATAGCCTTTATCTGTCATGTGATATGAGAGAACAGATGAGTGAACCAAAACATGCATGTGTCTTTGTTTGCCACACAGATGCCTCCTTAAAGGGTATAGGAAAAACATAGCTTTTTAGTAGCATTTTTTTGTTTAAATTTCAATTTAAAAATTTAATTTGTGCAAAATCCCTAGTAAACATCTTCACTGAGCAGAAAGCTTGCAGAAGATACAAGTCAAATGCCAAACCCTGCAAATAACACACATCCTTTCATGGGTGTTAAACTGTGCCTGATCTCCACTGATTGTGTCCTTTTTCCTCTAAACATTGTCAACTCTTAAAAATAATGACAAATTAGTTGTGTACTGAAGGGACCTGCTGCCCAGTCCATGTTTTTTTCTGAAGCAGTTCTGTCTCTACCCCATTCGTGGTTTGCCTCCCCTGCAGTGTGGCAGAAAAGACAGCTGCCATGGGATCTGATTGGGGAGCAGAAGATGTCCAGGAGCCCACCTTCTTGTAGCCTGCAGTATAAAAACTTTGCTTGGAATGCAATTTCCCCACAGTTAAAGTAAGATTTGAAAGGAGCATTGCTCTTTGTTAGGAAGAATTTTTAGGAAGGGATCATCAAAAAGGCCTTGTATCCTTTGTCCTGCAGCTCAGCGTGGCTGGAGGGGAGACACTTAGTCTTCCCAGAAGGTTGCTGGAGGAAAAACTTCATAATAGGGAATGCACTGATTGCGTCAGTGTAAGATGCTATCCCAGATGTGTTCTGTAGGAACTGCATTTAGCTGAACCATTCTCAGCTGGTTGGAAGGAGCTCAATCCATTCTCCTAAAAGGCCTTTCAGGGATAAACTTTGATCCTGTCACTAGAGAAGACTGCGAGCTGTACAGCATACATTCATCCTGCTAACACCAGTCCTGTAGCATCAGCAGCAGGACTCTCTCTTCTCTGCTGTGCTTTGGGATGTCATAGCACCTAGAGATGTCAGACCTTGCAGTGTGAAGAGGTATGGATGAGGGGAGCGTGGCTGGTGTCTTCATGCTTCTCCCTTCACCTGGTACTGCAGGACGGACCGTGGGTGTAAATGTTGTTCAGTGAAAACTGCACAGGGTTTATGCAACCTTGCTTAGTCATAGGGCTGCGGATAACCCCTCTTCCCACCACACTGAAGGAATGTAGCTGCAATGTACACAGTAGCATCATTAAGCTTGTCAAAGGTAAAATGGAAGCATGAGTATTTCTAGATCCTGCAAGAAAAGTGAGCTTGTGGATAGGGTTTTTTTGCTTGTTTTGTTGGGCCTGACCTAGCTGGTTCTTGCTTTTCAGGGCCTTTACTCGTGTGTTCACCTTTGGCCCCACATTTCGAGCTGAGAACTCACAGAGTCGCCGGCACCTGGCAGAGTTCTACATGGTGGAGGCTGAGCTGTCCTTCACTGAAAGCCTCCAAGACATCATGCAGGTAGGCACCCAAGTGTTTATGCAGAAACAGTGTCCAAACTTCCTCCTCCTCCCTCAGCTGTGCTTCCTGCCCTCACCTTGAGGTCACAGCTTCTCTCTCCGTGCGTGAGCCAAGGAGGGGTTGCACAGGCACATCCCAAGGTTCAGGGTTTGATCAGCAGAGCTGGGGCCACCAAAGGGATTGGGAAGGGAAGGTATAAGAAAGAACAGAGGGAAAAGCAGAAATTTCCTCTGAATGGGAGGCTGCATACAGCCAGAAGATGGATAAATGCATGTGACTGGTGCTAATGAAAGTGGCACTCTCCTCTTCAAAGCCTTCTGCATCTCTCCAGTGAATCTGAGCAGTATTTACGCAGTGGGCCCCTTGTTATGCTCTTTGAAAAGAGTTCCTTGAAAACTGCATTGAAATCAAAAGTAGAAACAACTGCTGACTTACACTACTCACTGAGACTTCAGTACAGACTGAAATCCCTACAGTAGCTAGCTTTATACATTCCAGGTTCGATCTCTTAATCACATGATGGATGCTTATGCATCTCACTACTTTCAGCATATGAGCCATTTTGTACTCAGTAGGACTTGTGAGCAAATATCCACAAATGCTCTCCTATAGCAGATGAGCTCCTTGGAAGGCTGTTGAGGAAATATCCTTATTAATATAATAAAAGCTTGAGGCCCTGGTTATGCATGCATGAAGTAACATCCAAGTCATGTTTTTTTTCATCCTGAATCATGTGCAGTCTTCAGAGTTGGTCTGGCCTAACAGCAAAACTGAATTCCAGTCTGGAGAAGAGAAGGCTCCTGGGAGACCTTGTTGTAGCCTTTCAGTAGTTAAAGGGTGCTCATTAACAGCAGGGAGACCGACTTTTTAAATGGTCTGATAGTGACAAGGGGGAATGGTTTTAAACTAAAAGAGGAGAGATTTAGGTTAGATGTAAGGAGGAACTTCTTTACACAGAGTGTGGTAATGCGCTGGCTCAGGCTGCCCTGATTGCTGTAGGTGCCCCAGCCCTGGAGGTACTCAAGACCAGCCTGTTTTAGAGTGTGCCAGCTCTGCTGACAGGAAGAGATTGGAACTGGATGTTCATTAAGGACTCTTACAACCCAAGCCATTCTGTGGTTTTGTCCTGTACAGAACTGTGCTGCTGCTTTCTCTTGTATGTCTCGTTGGCACTGGGCTGTGCAGAATGACCCACTGGGAATCTCTGTGCTCCATTAACAAAAACCCAATCTTTCTTTTCTCTTGTTTGTTTCCTCCAAAATGCCTTAGTATACTCTTAGAATATAACATACATGTCTGTTTCCACCCTACTTAGAATCACAGAATCATAGAATGGATTCTAAAGGACCACAGTGATCATCCAGTTCCAACTCCCCTGCTATGTGCAGGGTCACCAACCAGCAGACCAGGCTGCCCAGAGCCACATCCAGCCTGGCCTTGAATGCTCCCAGGGATGGGGCATCCACAACTTCCTTGGGCAACCTGTTCCAGTGCTTCATCACCCTCTGTGTGAAAAACTTCCTCCTAATATCTAATCTAAACCTCTCCTTGTCCTATCACTATCCACCCTTGTAAACAGTCATATCCCTTCCTGTTTATGTGCTCCCTTCAAATATTGGAAGGCCACAATGAAGACTCCCTGGAGCCTTCTCTTCTCCAACCTAAACAAGCCCTCTTCCCTCAGCCTTTCCATTTCTTAAGGTAATTAGGTGCTGATTGAACCCTTCACTGGTTTTGTCATACAATAAGCAAGTTCTTCTGCAAAGTGGTCTTTAAGCCTTTGAACACAGCATGAACATGTACTGTTGCAGTGAGAACTCTAATTTCTTGGCTTCAAAACTATATATGGCCAGTAGGCTTCAGATAATTAGATTTGAGAACTGTCTTGGAATGCGTAGGACCTTCACTTTGTAGGAAAAGAAAGAATTCCTTCCTTGGCTTATTTTTTATTGCTGCTAAACATCTTACAAAGTCTCAGCTTGTTCTCTCCTTTTTCTTTTGCCTCAAAGTCTATGAGAATCATCCTTTCTTATACCAGAAATTCTCCTAACAGTAATGGTTTTGCATTCCCCATAGCAAGTCCACATTGCAACATGTGCTTACTTTAGTGAAGTTCTCACTTGCAGAAGTGGAGTTCCTGTTTTGTTTATTTTTAGATCATTGGGCAATTTCTTTAAGAGAAAAACACCCACACTAAAACAAACAAAAAAGAAAAGACAGCTGCTGTAACGTCTAAGTTAAGTTTCTTTTTCCCCATTTAATTGACCTAAATTCAGTGTTCTCTCACATATTTGCCCACTGGGCAGTTTGGCTGTTTGTCATCATCTGCAAGTTCTTTGTTTGGTGCAGAACACTCAGTTGAAAGCCTTGGGGGCTATTGATAAGAGTTATGAACTTTATCCTTAGATAAATAGCTGGATTGTTTAAAAATTATTATTGAAATTGGCATTCAAGATTTGGAATGAATACCTCTAACTTTAGCAAGTCAGGGTGCTGGGAATGCTCAGCTTCTTCAGGGACATCTTGAAGTATTTGCTTATACACCATTAAAAGGTACAGAAAAACCTCACTACAAAGAAATGCATGTTTACCATTCTCTGATGAGGCTTCAGATTTTTGCTCCCAAAGAAAAGCAGCTCTCTTTACAAAATAAAAGGAAGAACAATATTTAATAACAAAGGTGCATGTACTTAGGAGCAAAGGGCCTTTTTTCCCCACTATAATTGCACAGAGCAATGCTCAGTTATTCCTAAATTAGTAACCCAGTTCTTATGAAGTCTTAAGTGCCTTGATCACATAGTCTAAATTTCTGCTTTGTGCCAAGATGTGTTTTAGTGCTCCAAATAAACTTAAACTCTTGTAATACTGGTTTCACAATACTTTCTATGGAAAGTCCCACTATGCTCAGTGTTTGGTGCCACACTATGTGCTGAGTGTTTGGGTGATACTATTACAATTTAGTGTACTGGGTGTATGCAAGAGTTTCTATGGAGAGGCCTTTGTGGCCTCTTCCCAAAAGAGTCTAATCAAGAGGTTGAGTCAAACTGCCCCAAGGCACTCCTCCTCCAAAGCGAGTGAGAGAGAATGAGTTAGAGGGTCAAGTTAGAATGTGGAAGAGGTCCAGCTTGTGTTGAAGTGTCTGGTCTCACCAGTCACCTTTCTTCCAGTTCCCAAATGAGAAATCCAAGATCTCTTCTTATCTGTGCTCTGGGATGCCTGCTGCCATCTTTTCCCATTCTATTCAGTGCTGCGTCCATCGTGTCTGTAGGTTTCTGTTTTTCCTTTCTGCTGTCTTGACAGTGAAGTGGATTTTGAAGGGTCCCACTTTACTTGTGGAGCCTCAAAGAGCTCAGGTGATGCCATCATCATTGAATTATATCAAATGTGCATACAAAACCATGCTAAAATAACATTATTTAGACTGTAAAGATAGGAAATGCCAGGAGGAAAATTTTTTGAGGACACTTTGGAAAGTCTGTGCATAGTGATAGTCTTAATAAAATTGGATCTTGTAAAATTGGATCTTAGAACCTCTGTCTCTCACTGCCGAAGGTGGAAGATATAATTTAACACGGTATTTGTGCTCTGTTCTGGGTGCAGAAATATCGTCTTCCTCTGGTTATGTACTTCATCAAAACATTCATTGCTACAGCCCAGTGACATGAAGTATTGTTATCTCCCTTTTATAGAAAGGAATTCAGGCACAAAATGAAATCAGTAGTAGCACTGATTTTGGGCACCAGTTGGAGGCTGTATCTTCAGGGTGATAGTTTCCCTTTCTAAAGTGGCATCCAACTGTCATAGCTGAACCTTCCTCTGTTTCCTGAGTTCCATCAGCAGTTACTGTTTAAGTTCTATGGTCAGAGAAGCAGTGGTCCAACAGACAAGTCTCCTTCCTTCCATAACAACAGCATCTCTGCAGAGTGGGTCTAGTCTAAGAAAGCCAGTACATGACCATGTAATTATGAACAGTGGGCAAGAATGCTCACTTGGAGCTGCATGCAAGATCTTCAGTTCCTAACTGAAGTGAGCGATCTCACGTTTCTAATGCTTCTCTTCTACAAACTTGTTTGGAGAACTAATGGGTTAAAAAATGATCAGTATATCATAGCAGATGTGAAAAGGATATCCCTTGCAAGGTGCTACAGTCCTCATAAATGCTTTCTTTGCTATTGAAGTTCAGCTTGCTTTCCATAGTGATGATTTTTCAAGACTGGTGAAGGCAGCAACACTGTGCAGGTATATTTTGCCTTTGCAACAAGCATACACTGAGCACAGGCGGAGCTTTTTTTTCACCAGGTGACAATGAAGAGTGATCTTCAGCCTATAGAAATCTAGCTCTTGAGCTGTTCAGAATATAGATGAGAGAGGAGTCTTCACAACAAGGTCAGCTGTGAGTCTGCCCTCTGTGTGTGTGTATATGTACATGCATGTGGTGTGTGTGAGAGCAAGCATGAGGGCAACAAATAACAATCAGGTTGATAAATGTATGTACATTTACTGTGATCTGCATTTGCATCAATACTCACGGCCTGGGAAAATGTGGAAGCAAAAATCCTACTGTTACTGTGATTTTCTGGTAGTGTGGTTGCATGACCTAATAAAAATCAGAGAGATGGTTGTTAAGTTCCACAACAGCACTGGGACAGGTCAGGACTGATGCTGCTGAACTTCTTTGAAAGGTGAGGATTAAGAGGAAAAGTGGGGAGAGGTGAGAGAAGAGAAATTTTTACCTCACCTACACTTCTACCAGCACATTTCCTGTGTTTTCCTTATGAAGCAAGCAAACAAACAGGCTTTTGAAACCAAGAGTCCCACCTCTAAGACAGATGGCCATCTGTGAGTCCTCTGCTGTTTTTCATGCATAAGCCTCCAATCAAACATGCTTAATTCAGGATATATTCACACACAACCACTTGATCTATCCCTCCAGCTCACGTGCTCCCTCAACTAGCAAGGCAGTGGCTACGGTTCTCCACTCACTTTTCATGCATCCTGCTTTCTAGTCCTTCTTTATATTATCTGCTTAAAGCCATAACTTCTGCATTGGAGCTTTTCTTTGCCTTTATTTTTCCCGTTCCCTGTTTGTGCCTGGTACACATTTGGCATAAATAAGAGTGGTGAGAAAGCCAATGCATGACCCACGTGTCTGCCTTCTTTGCCAGGATAAAACCTCACACTCAAACCTGGAAATATTTCTCAGATTGTTTTTCCCATACCACCCACATCTTTTTTCCACAAGAGGAAGCTGCTTATGTTGAATGCTGTGGGAACCTAATTGTTACTTTATCGCACAGCGAGGAAAAAAAAGTGCTAATGAAACAACATGCTTTTCTAAAAACAGATGATACTTTCATTTTCTAGAAAGAGGAAGCTTAATGTAAAATCCCTTTGTCTCTGCCTCGGTGAAACCAGATGAATTGCCAAGAAGTTCTCTAATTTCATTTGCATAAGCCTTTTTCTAGCTACTTTGAAAAAAGTTCAAAGCTGCCTGTTTGGTTATTTGCCAGCAGGAATGCTGGCTTTTCATTTCCTCTGCATTTGAGTACTAGTAGGGGTAAAATTGTTTATCTGCATATGATAATGCTGTGCCTTTATTTGGACCTTCCTTTTTTAGCATTAGGCTCTGATTGATGCAGAGTATGAAGGTTCTGAAGGAGCGAAGATGGTCTGTTAAACAAGCTTCTCCTGGCAGGTGGGATGCAATGACTGTTCATCAGTCAGTGTTTCAAGCAGTTTAGAACAAGTGATCAAACATGAAAGTCTGAGCAAGATGCCTAAAAGCTAATCTTAGCTATGTCAGTAGCCGAGCTGCTTCTCCCTTTGTTTTGTTCCTCTTGCCCAGTATAAGGTTCCTTATGGGGCAGTGACTTGCTTCTTCCTCAGACCTGCTGACAGTAAGGTTCATCTTTTCACACTTTGCCTGCCCTGGGCTTAGCAGTGTGGAGAGCCCCCTGTTCATCTAGGTATCATGGGTGGATTCTTTCCTTTTGTCAGCTCTGCAGTTAATGAAACAAGTTGTTACGCTTACAGAAAACACAGAGAAGTGCCAGGACTTCCAAAAGTGCTTTTTGTTGCAAAAAAAAAACCACCTCCATCTCAGGCCAGGGTGATGAAATGCAGCCCAGCTGCATTGCTTGTTGCTTACAAAGGTGAGAATAAGGAAAGTGATTCTAAAGAAAAGTTGGGAGTGTCAGTTATCCACAGGTATCCCTGCTTTGTGCAGGCATGGGGCTACAAGTAGTTATGGGAACTCTCACTGGCCAGCATGACAGCGAGTGTTCTGGATAGACTGCTTTGCTTAACCAAGCATGAAAATGACTCTTACAGCAGGTTGATCAAAAAGCACTGAAATCCAGTGTGGGAGCTTTTTTTTTTTTTTGTGAAGAATCAAAATGGCATTTGTTTCATTTAATTTCTTCATAGGTGAAGCCCTTTTTAATGGGTAAGTATATCAGTGTTGTTTAGATTATCCACAGTAGTTTAGGGGAATTAAAGCAGGTCGTTTTTTTGTCTCTCAGGCATCTCTGAATTGATGTGTACTCAGCTTTAGCTCACTGCTCATCTCTACAGATGTTCTTTTTGAGTTACTGTGCCGGGTCTCTCTAACTGGAATTTGTTGAATAGTCTGATTCCACACAGTGTGCATTTATTCTCTTCTCCTTTAGTTCTATCTGTTGTGACAATAAAGGAGAAGGACAGAATTGCTCATTACAGGAAAGGCATCTCACTAGTGATTTATCTGAGACCAGTCACCACAAATGGTTGTATTGTGTTCATTTGTGGCTGACCTGGGCTGCTCGTTGTATATTTTAGTGTTTGGTTCTTGTTTTTTTTTCCACTGGAAATAGTTGACTGAAGATACTAAGGTCATCAGCAGACACTGAGACTCAAAACCTGTAGCAGAAAAGCAAGTTCTAATCCACTTCAGCCAGTGAGCAAGCCTGCTAATTAGGAGCATTAGCAAGCTGGTACTCTCTTATGCAGTCTGACCATGCAAAAGCTCCTTTTGTACCCTTTGGTTGATGTGTACTGTGTTTTATTTATAGTCCTGGACGTCTAAGCAGTGTTAATTTTCCATGCACTTCTGTTTTCTCTTTTAGGTTATGGAACATCTTTTCAAGACAGCAACAAGCACTGTGTTCTCCAAATGCCCTCGTGATGTTGAGCTTTTTCATAAATATGTAGCTCCTGCACAGAAGGTAATAAATGTGACAGGAAAGAGCTGCAACACTCTTTATGCATTTGGGGGGGCTCTTGACAATAGAGAGGCTTGATTTTATTGTGTTCTCCTGTTAATCATAGAATCATAGAATGGCCTAGGTTGAAAAGGACCACAATGCTCATCCAGTTCCAAGCCCCTGCTGTGTGCAGGTCACCAGCCACCAGACCAGGCTGCCCAGAGCCACATCCAGCCTGGCCTTGAATGCCTGCAGGGATGGGGCATCCACAGCCTCCTTGGGCAACCTGTTCCAGTGCATCACCACCCTCTGTGTGTAAAACTTCCTCCTAAAATCTAACCTAAACCTCCCCTGTCTCGGTTTAAAACCTTAGGAACCTTAAGCCTGACCTTAAGTTATTTTTCAGACCAACACAGGGAGGACTCACAACTTTCTGTAGGTGTTGGCATTTGTGGTAGAGCTTTAGTTGTCACATCACCTTTTAGTACAGAGTGACATGAAGTGGATTTTGACATATATTTAGAGCACAACACAGATCTGTAAATGGGAACTTGGAGGGGGCGGTAACTTTTGTCTTTATTCTGGACCTGTGAACTCTTAGGAGTAGCTTTACCATTTTGTTTTTCTTGTTTTGAACAAGGGCAGGTTGGAACAAATGCTGAAGAACAAATTTGTAATGTGAGTATTTTAATTTCAAAATGAACTGGAGGAGGGAGGCCTTTTGGGAAAAGCATTCCTATTTTGTATATATATATATTTTTTTCCCCCCAACTCAGTACTTCTGAATTAATATGATGTCACCTAAAGAGCATGAACTTAAATTTCCTTTGTTCTGTTCCCTAGCTGCCCTTTCACTCCTGCATGAGACTGGCATCGAATCTGTTGTCCTTTCACTTTTGCTTACTTAGACAGGATCGTCTTTCTACCAAGGCATCTTCTTTCCAGCATGCACCTGATGAGTTGGTTTCACTCTCCTCTGTTTCAGCTTTGGTGCTTGCTCTGTTTTCCCTCACATTTTCATACAATCATAAAATCATTTGAGTTGGAATGGACTTTTAAAGGCCATCCAACCCAACTCCCTTGCAGTGAACAGGGACATCTCCAGTTTGATCAAATGCTCAGAGCCCCATCCAGTCGGACCTCGAGTGCCTCCAGGGATAAGGAATCCAGCACCTCTCTGAATAACAGGTCCCTTTTTATAAAAATATTTTTTGACAGAAAAACAAATTGGGTTTTAAAATATTTCCAATTACTTGTGCAACTCATTTTTTCAGTTTCTGTGTCCTAAAGAACTGAAAGATTTTTGTTTCTTTCCTTGCTGCCCAGAATATCTCCTCTCCTCTTCTCTTGCCAGTCTTGGTGCTCTCTCTTTATCCAACAGAATATTTCAGAGTTACTCAGCCCAGCACTGGTTTTCCTGTTAAGCAGCTCAGCTTCTTTTTGCATCAAGATCATGAAAGATGCTCCTTGTGCATCTTATTTGCACAGGCACCACAGAGGGCTTCTGTGAAGTGAATCTTTCTCCCCGTTTTGATCCTTCTCTCTTTGTACCTAACTTATATTTCCAGGAGGACAGAGTTACTCTCAGCTTCTCCCATGGAAAAAGAAATTAAGTCAGCCCATCTCTCCCTCCATTTCTGCCTCTCTTCCGTTACTGGCAGATCTAAGGCATTCTGAGCTTACACATCCCAGAAGTGTGGGTTAAACCTGTGCCTTACTTTGCCCAAACACGTAGAGCAATGCGTTTCTGATGTATTTTCTCCAGAATCTTCCATGTGTCAGTGAATCCTTGTAGCTGGATGTAAAGAGCTCGTGTTCTTTACGTAATTTGGTTTATAATTGGGTTTGGATAACGATAAAGAGAGAGGAAATTATTGTGAGCAAGTTACCCTTTCTGCCTGCAGCATTTGCTTGGCATGTGGAAAACCTGTCAACAAAACTATCTGCCATTGAGACTTGATTTCCAGTTACCAAACTTGCAGTATCTTTAACTGCCCTATTTTTTTCTGTTGGCATGATTCTGTTTATCAGTTCTGGTGAAAATTAGTGGGAATTCTGGTTTCAGAACTGTCATAGGAGTAGGGAAACATTGCTGCAAATGAATATTGTGATATTTGCAAAATGAAATGAAAACACTCGAGGTGCAAGTCCTTTGCACACTGGGCTGTTATTCTTCCTTTATACTGGAACAGTGGAGCTGTGTTGGATCTATGCCAGTGAAGGCATTAAAAAAATCCTCCAATTTGTATAAGGTTGGTTCTGTGCAAAACTCCCTTCTGACTGAAATGCAGTGTTGCAACAATGCAGAAGTGCTTTGAGAGCTCAGCATTTTCACTTTGCATGTAGCTGAAGCACAGGAAAACATAGGGTTCTTGCCATACCAAATGTAAGTTTTTGGTTTCTATTCCAAGCAGCATTACTGGGAAGTCTGACATCACACTACACGTTGGCATGGTCTTGGGGAAATGCTTCCTTAATTTTCCAGTGCAACACTTGGCCAGAACATTTAATTGTTATTCCTTTCACAGTTATCTCAAAGGCTTTTTTTTTTTCCTCTTGCAGAATTTCCTACAATGAAGCAGTGGAAATTTTGAAACAGGCTTCTCAAACTTTCACTTTTAAGCCAGAGGTAGGTAGTTGTCTGGGTGTTTGTCCCTATGCCTGTTGGTGCACACAGCCAGTCTGAGCACTTTAGGTCACAGGGACCTTTCCCTCTTTATGCAAGCAATGCTAAGTGTGTTCTAGTTTCATTAATGGTCATCTTAAGAAGCTTATTTCAATAGCCTTCAAATAAAGGAATTGTATTTAGGTAGCACCAAAACTTTTTTTAAGTACCAAAACTTTTACAAGGGTTGATAAGTCAAAACCACATCAAAATACCATGCATCATACATGTAGGTAAAGGGAATCCCTTGTCTTTCCAAAGGCTAGTTGTCATCTGGGAAAGAGAATCATGTGATAGTCTTACAAACAGTGTTAGATTATGACTTTCTGCAAACTGTATTTTGCCCAATTTCAAACATACATGGCAGCGTTGAGAGCATTTGTGTTTTGCTTATCTCCAGTGTAACAATTAGTCTTAACCTCACTCTGCTATTTTAAAGAAAATAATCCTCTGCCTGAAGACATCTTCGTAGCTGGTTGTGTAGCTGTCTGGTCTCTGTGAACAAGTGGGCGTCAAACCTTGAATCCTGTGTGTGAATATGGCTACAAATCATGCTAGCAGTGCTGTTGCACAAATCATTACCGTTTTTTTCTGATGCAAAGGAGATTTATCAGCTGACTACATAAGAACAGAGATTTGGAAGGAACCACCTCAGTCAAATCTGTAGTATCTAAATCTGAAACAGCAAACTCAGCATATTTTCAGATGAGGAGAGCCTGCAGAATTTATTTCCCTTCTTCTTTTCCAATCTCTCTGCATACTTTGCACATCCTGTGGTGGGCTGGAGATCTCTAGTCAAAAGCCACAGCATTTATAACATGGAATAAAGCAGGAAAAGCGAAGGACGTTGTAAATGTCCAAAGCTTCCAATAAAAAATTGTTTGATAGGATGCTGAGTTTTTTTTAAATGAGAATGCTGAAGTCAGTCTGACTGAGTAAGCCAATTTTGGATAGGTTCCTATTTCCCTGAAGCTATGTGGTGAGAACTCCAAGTGGTTGGTTTGTTTGTTTTGGTTTTGTATTGTTTTCTGTTTTGATATCAGATATTTGGGCTTGATGCAAGGACGATCAGGCCCTGTTCCATGGAAGTTAAGCCGTGTTATTTTCATTACTTTGCTCTGCCCTAAAACCTGTGGAACATTGTGTACTTAGCATATTTTCCCAGTAGGTTGTGTGAACTCAGAAGTTAATGGTCATGTTTTTGTGTTAGTCAAAAGTGTGCCACTCTATGCAGGGATTTTGCTTGGTGTCTTGCTGCAGGTGAGGTACACAAAAGCAAGATACTAGGTTGCTTTTGTTCTCTTTACAGTGGGGCTGTGACCTCCAAACAGAACATGAGAAGTACCTGGTGAAGCACTGTGGTGAGGTTCCTGTATTTGTGATTAACTACCCCTACGACCTCAAACCTTTCTACATGCGGGACAATGAAGATGGACCTCAACATACAGTGAGTCCATGGGTCACACTTCCCCCTCCTTTTCATTGAGGTGTGTGTCTTAGCTTAAAAGTAAGTAGAACCATAGAATGTCCCAAATTGGAAGGGACCCGTAAAGATCATCTTGTCCAGCTCAAAGATGGCTTTCTGCTGGTCCTCTAGTCTTGAAGGCCAAGGTAAGACATGGCCATCATGTAGGTAATCCTGCCCAGTCTTCTTTATGTTACAGAAGAAATCCCAGAGCAGGAGTAGCAGGAGGAAGATACAGGAGATAGGTAGCATGAAGTATTTGTTTAAAATCTTTAAGGCATATTTGCCATAGTTTTTTTTTTTCCCCAAGTGTGTATCAGTACTACTAGTTAAGTGCCTAGAATTGTATGGGTTCAGGCAACCCATGATTCCCCAGTCATCCACATCTACCGTGTAATCCTCAAATAGCAGATGGACACTAGAAATAAACTTCTTCCACAAGTCTTTTGCTTTGAAAGTATGATTTTTCCAATTAAACCGAGACCAGTCTGAATCAGTGCTTCTACTAAAAAGTGTGACTTCTACTGCCATTTACTGCTCTTGCTTCACTTGCTTTAATTTCGGTATCTGACGAGCTGTGGAAAAGCAACCCTGCAGAACAAAACGGGGAAGAAAATCAACCCAAATCAACAGCACAGATGATAGCACTGTGTTCCTAATGCAACTTCAGTACTGCCAGCTGCATTTCTGCTATAGACTGTATGGCCTAACTTAAATTAGTTTTCTCCTTTTTAAGGTTGCAGCTGTTGATCTTCTAGTACCAGGAATAGGGGAGTTGTGCGGAGGCAGCTTGAGAGAGGAGCGACTTCCCTTCTTGGAATCACGCTTACAGAGGTACAGAAAACCTGCAGGTGCCAGGTGACCAGCCTGGCCACAAGTGTGTTCAGGCAGCCCTCAGTGCCTGCAAGGCAGGACTGGAAGGGCAACTGTTTGTCTGTTGTCTTTTGAGATACCTATTTATCTGAGTAAGCGATTGCTAACCAGTGGAGGAGGTCTTGTCCTTCTGCTGGCATATGAAGTGCCACTCAGCTTCATCTTACTGCAGAAGAGGGGAGGGGAGCAGCCTTAGCTCTGTGGGGACTGACTGAGACAGATTCTCATCAAGGCACTTCATCCTTGAGCCCTTCCTTCACAGCTTTTGTGTCTGAGAGTTGATTGTGAAGGTGAAAGTTGTGTAGCCAGAGCTTACGTACTTTTGTTACCATGTTGTGCAACGGAGGAACTGCAGCTGGGAAGCTTTGCCTAGCTGTGGTACAGTTGACTTCAGTAACTGTATTTCATAGAATACTGTTCTTTGCTAAGAGTTTTGTGGAAAGCTTCATTGGAGAGAGCTGTGACTTGTACTGAAGTCATGTGGCCTCGTTGGCAGTCTTTTTCCCTACTGCGTTGTTCTGACTCTGGCTTAGGGTAATTTTAGGCTAAATTCAGTGTCAGAACATCGGAGCTGTTATTTCATTAACAGCAATTGACTTTAGAGATGGGGTAAATCTCCATCTCTAGATGGAGACAATGTAGACAATTACTCCCTGGATCCAGTCTGAATTTTCAAAATAACTTTTTGTAACTCGTCTGAGTCCATTTGTGCTATTTGTACACTTGTTACAAAGCAGTTTTGGAGGAGAATTAATCCCAGAGTAACGTAATTTATACATCGGGAATGAATCCATCACTTAAATCAGCCAGTTGGTCACGGTGATGTATCTAATCAGTGGAGAAATGCAAAATCCATTTCAGCATAATGAAAAACGATAGGGCAATTAAAATCACTGCAAGATTGGTTCACAGTTTGTGGTGTAGGATGGTGTTACACCCTGCAAGGCCTCACTGTGCATGCTGTCACTTTCATTGTGAACTCTCCAGACAGAACCATGCTTCAGCTGAAGCAAAGTGCACTTGACATTTCTACCCATAGAATCCAGAGTCCACAGCCTTCCAGGTGTGGGACTGGAGGAGGGATCTTTGTAAAGGTCAAAGCCAGACTTTTTTTATGTGACAGGAAAGTCACAGGAAGTGTTTTGAGCTACAAATGATGTATCTTCAGTGACCTCAGACTATAGCTCTGCACTTAAGATGAACTGGGAAAATAACACCACGTGTTTCTCTGTTTTGAGTCCTCAGGATCTGATCTGCTGAACCAAAATATTTTGTTAATGCCTTTAAATTCTACTTCCTGCAGTCCCAGCACAAACAAGAGAGAGATAACTGGATTCTCGTCTCCTTATGCACGCTTCTTACAGTAAATCTAAAAGTTCTGGTCAAGGATTGCTGCAGTGTGCTGGAGATCAGAGAAATGGTCTCATTTTGCCTACAGAAATTTTTGTTTGTGTTGAGAGGAATGGGAAGAAAAAAATCAACTTTGTGCTGTTTCTGCTAGGGTTGGAAAAGGGTGGAGGATCTACTGTTGGCAGTTAAGAAAAGATGTCTTCATTAAATTGCTTTACAGAAGCAACTTTTATTTAATAGTTGAGTATGTTATTAAATCCATGGCCATTTAATGGTTTTGTGAACTAAGAAAGGGGAGATTTCACATATGGGGAGATTTTGCCTCATTCATAAATGAGATTGCTGCATGTTGTAAGTTTAATATTTAGGCCTACACTCTCCAAAATTTTGAAAGAGGGTTTTACTGATTTCCCTGAAGTGAAGCATTTGCACAAGTCTTGGTATGAAGCTGTGTGTTTCCAAAACTAACTTTGTATTTTGAGAAGCATGTTGGGAATCTGTTCGAGATTCTCTACCAAGTGCCAGAGCTGACAGCCATTGATCCTGTCTTCCCTTTATTTCCTGCCTTTCCTTTTTCACCTCAGTTTAGTTGTTTTCCAGGCAAGTGCTGCATATGCAGCTCCATGTTCCTTTATTTATGAGGTTTTTTCTTCTTGTTCCACAGATTAGGACTCACAAATGCCTACCAATGGTAAGACTGTTTCTTATTTTGCAAGCTATATTTCTTCTGAGGTTCTTTAAACAAATGTTTCATTTTTTCATGCAGTTCTTGAGGGGGACATTTCTTGGCCCAGCTGCATGGCCATCACTGCCAGTCTCAATGGAACAGCCAGTTCACTTCAACAAAGTTAATCTAATGCTACTTACTTTATCTTCCCAATTTGTCTGTGGTCAGCACAGGTCATTCCTTTCAGGATTGCATAAAGTGGATTAATTTACAACTCATCAGTGATACTAAGTCATCAAATTGTGTTCCAAAATGAATAGATTCTGGCCACCATCACATGAGATAAACAGGTTGCAGAACCACAAGCAATTTGTGACCTTTAACAGCTCTGTGAATGACTCCCTTTGCAATTGACAGAGCAACTGGGTTGAAAAATCTTCCCTAACAAAGCTGTTGAAGCAATTAAAACTGTCCTGCTAAGGAGACAGAACAACCTTTGAATTAACGATTTAGCCCATTAAAATGACAAGATTTTAGTGCTCCTCTTGACAAGTGTTTCTTGGTATGTGCTTTGTCAAAGCTACTGAGAGGTTGATAGTGTGGAGGATTTTAAATTTAGAAGAGTGTATTCAAATGCTCTTTAGTATTTGGATTGGCCATTAGGGAGACTGCCTTGAAGAATGCAGTACAGGATTCTTACACTCTCTCCTGAGTATGAACTCACTTTGAAACAGACCAGTGCCTGGCAGTTCTTCATATCATCCATTTGCAAACAAGGTGAATGAAATGTCTTCCATTATTATTTGCATTTATGGGTCAGAATGCACTGTATCACTTCATCTAACCCAAAGCAGAGGGTCAGAATTTCTTTCTGTAATTTCTCTGAGCCTGTAGCTTCTGTTTATAGGAAATATTTTTAGACAGGCATACAGGTTAACTGTCTGTGTTCCCAGGTAAAGCTGCTAGTAGAAAGCTGTTAACGTGCCCAGTGTATCTTATAGACCAAGCAGCCTGTGTAAGGGAGTAGCAGTTGAGTTGAACCTTTTTAGCCTACTCTGTTTCTTAGTTGTCCCTTTGAAGCTTGTGTGGAATACTCAGAAGAATCCCAGGGCCCTTTGTGGTACTTGTGATGGTTGTTTTTACTCCTAACTCTGACCAGCACCTGATATCCTAGATGAGCATAGTCAGCAACTCTTACACACATAGATAATTAAATATTGGGTCTTCTGGAGAGGAAAGCGTGACCAAGGCTGATCAGGTGTATGGTTAGATGTTGAGATAAAGCCTTAGGAAGTCTGATGCTCAGTAGCAGGGAGCCTTTCAGCATTGCTAAAATAGCTCAGCCCTGCCTTATGCCCCCCACGAGAAACACTGCCCATCACCCATTTTTGGTTTCATGTCATGTGTAGCTGTCCTGTAATCTCATTTGGGAGACTCTCTTCTCCCCTTTTTTCTCCATTCCACTGAAGTGATGCAGCTTCCCATAGGAGACTGAAACTGTTTTTGCCCCTTGCACAGTTTGATGTGCTGGGAAGCTGCAGGATTAGAATATCCCAGGTAACTTCTGGAATCCAGTCCAGATTCTGCCAGTGAAGAGGTAGTTACGTTGCCAGCATCCTTCTCAGAGGAGGTGGCAGGAGAGACTGAAATTAATCTCCTCCATTTTAATGAACGAATTTAGTCTCCAAAGCTGGCACACAAACTCTTTGGAGAACAGCTGAGTCATTTCTTTTGAAGTATATTTGCTAACTTTTGAATGGACAGCTATATGAGATGTCTCTTTTGAAATCCCTTAGATAATGCCCTATCTCCACTTCTAGTTGTTTTCTTCTGTGTTTTGGGACACACTGTTTCTTCAATGACTTGAAGAGTTCCTTACTTGTGGAGGAGTCATTGATCAAAGAGGCAACCAACAATCTGTAGATACAGGAATATGGCCAACCTCCTCTCAGTCTTCTTCAGTTCAATACAGCTTTCCTGTTGTGCAGGTTCCTTTCCATAAATAGTAAGAGGTGGGGAAGTACTTGGCTTGACTTTGGAGTAATTTTATCTTATTTTCCCACTCCTTCCTTTGAACTGTAGACAGAGCTCAGTGCTGTAGATGCTAATTTTGGCTAGACTGAGAGACATCTATGAAATTGAGGTGGGAAAGTCAGGAGATCAGAGTTTACTCTGGGAAGTCACTTGCTGCCTTTGTGCCTCTTTCCTGCTGTTCTCTGCCAGTGTAGGCTGTTAGTTCCAGAGGGCAGACTGTGAATTCTGTGACTGTGGGGTACTGAATATATTGTGTTATAAATGGACTGTAAATCCAGCTCATATCAGTGGTTTCCACTGAACACTCTGAATGCCTTCTTTTGTGGATTACCAAAACATTGTAGCAGAGCAGAATTTGCATGATACCAAAGATAGCATTTTAACCAAGCTTTAGAACCCAGAATCATGGAATTGTTTGAGTTGGAAGGGACCTTTAAAGGTCATCTAGTCCAACTCCCTGTAGAGAACAGGGGACACCTACAGCTCAGTCATTTCCACAGAGCCTGTTACAGACTGATCTTGTGTGTCTCCAAGGATGGGGATTCTCTGGAGAAGCAGTTCCAGTGCCTCACTAGTGGTGCTTGCATGTTTATTTCCTAAAACATTCAATAAAACTGATCCTTCATATGCTAACCCATTTCACTGCTAGTTTTTTGTTACCCATATTTTTTCCTTAGTATATTTCTTTTCTTCCAGTAAAATATTCAACTCTGGGGATGACAGTTCTTTGTTCTCCCAGCCTTACTTTTTTCTGACTGGCAGCAGAGGCTTCAGTATTACAAGATGGTTATATGACAGATCAAGATTATATTTGTTTTGAAAGGAGACTAAAAAGCATACGTTCTGTTTTACAAACAATCACTGAGAATGCACTGATCTTCACAGTGCCTTGCTGTGCATCACAGGATTTGGTGATGGTGACACAAGGATATAGGTTTTGAAAAGGATGAAAGGAAATGCTTTTCTAACTTGGCACGTAACAAGCTCATGGAATTCACTGCCAGGGGATGTTGTTGCAGCACATATTTTAGTAAGATTCAAATCTCAGAACTACCAGTCCTCCAAGTCCAGAACATGAACAATGAAGATAGCAGGGGTCATGGAAACTTACTTCCCCCATTGGAATAACGTTGCACATTCCCTCAGTTGCCAATGGAAGTCTCAGCCGTCCTCTGAAGCACAAGCTGCTGGGAGAAATAGCTAAACTAGTTTGAGAGTGTTTTCCGAGGTGAGAAACATACAATGTGTGGAGATTATTGAGTGAAGGAAACCTCAGGAAACATTTTCCAGCCTGAAGGGATTTTTCTGTTAATCTGCAGGAAGTTATTCTTTCTTTCATCTGAGAAGAACGGAAAATTTCTCAATTCCTTCACTTTTTCTAAGTGCAGACATCAGAAAGGATTCACAGGCTTGATCCTCAGCACATTTAACTCAATGAGCTTTTTCTATTAACTTTAATGGGCTTTGTTTTGGTTCTTTTGCCAGAATGGCTTCTCAGAGTGCTCTGAGATCCATAGATGAAAGCCTTGGATAAGCAAGGGTAGAATTTATTATTATTGTCCATCTGGAAGGAGCAGAGTTACTTAATCTTTATGATGACTTTATAAACTGCATTGCCACCAAAGAGGAATGAAAGTGCTAGGCAGAGTCTGACTGACGTCACCTGCAATATCTGTGCTGTTATTTCAACTCCCAGTTGCTGCTAGAGTTGCCACCAGCTGGTTTGCCAATTCTTCTCAGAACTGCTGAGTAGGTGCAGGTTAACCTGCCACGGGCAGCACCCATATCACCCACATCCCTCAGCTTTATGAGGCCCTTTATATTTTACAAGTCACCACCCTCAGCATTAGATTTGCTCATCATCTTCTTCGCAAAGCTGCTAAGCAGGGTTTTCTGGAGGCAGTTCCCAGTATGTAAGTGGAAACTCAGTGCTAGGAAGAGGTAAGAAGTTCTGCTTTTGATTTTACTTGTTAGGCAGTGGAGTGGAGGAAGAAAATCTCTTGAGGAAAAACAAAAAAAAAAAAAAAGAAGAAGAAAAAACCCCAAAACATTGTACTGCTTGTAATAAGTGGCTTCCCAAATTTCAACGCTTGTTAATGAACCACAAGAAAAAAAGTGGTATGGTACAAAAGGTATACTGTCAAACTGTGTGAACAAGTGTATAGTTCAAGATGTGTGTTTATATGCATTGATATCTATATGCTTTCACATATATATTTCAGCATGATTTTGTATTTGCATTGAGGTTTAGTTGCTTTTTTTGTAAACTGGGCTGATGAAACACTCATACATGGGGATGAGAAGCATGTAGTGTATGTGCAGTCACACAGACCCTTTGTAGTGCATTCATACATCACAACTTTGTGGTCTCAGGAGGCTCAGGAGTGGCCCCATGAAAGAGCAGACCCACTGAGCTGATTTTCACTCCTATTAAAACATAACTGTTGGTGACAGTTTATATCTGTAAACACAGTCCTTGCATATCATGTCACATGAAATCAGGAGCGGAGAGGGGGAGCTGAGCCATCTTAATGTTGTTGACACCCACATAGTTGGAATAGCTGCTCCAAACAAGGCAGCTGGCTTTTCTGTACACAACAGGTACCGTTCTCTAAACTGCGATGTCTTGTTGCAGATCTCATTTTTGGAGAAGAAATGTACAGAATTTTTTGCTGACTTGCTGTGGGAGTGAATAAATCAGTCTGTGAAAATGATTCGGGGGGGCTGGGAAGGGGGGAAAAGGTGACCAAAAAGCCATTATAATTACCCTAAGAGAAAAATAACACTCAGGAGGAATCTTCAGCAGACAAGAAGATGTATTTGAGCCAAGAAATTGAGTTCTTAAGGAATTACTGGAAATGAAATGACTCGGCCTATTGAAAAGATGACTGGACAGAAGATGAAAATTTATTGTAGGGCAGATTTCAGCCTGGCAAGAGCTGAACAAACCCAAGCAGGGGACTCTGACAGTGGGAATGTTTTGTGTTGCTGTAGGAACCTGGGCTTGTGCTTCTATTAGGGATATATTTAAAAACTTTGGTGCTCTCAGTGCATGTAGAGCCATTGATGTTAAAGTTGTACTTTGTACCCAAATGAGTTCTTGCTCCTAAACAAAGCAGGCTGTAGCATATTGGCAAGGCACAGCACTGCTGGTTTACATTTGCACCTGGGGCTTCTTGCTAATACAGTTCTGCCTGTCAGGGAGCCCCACCGCTTCGTGTCCCTCTTCAATGCTGGCTGTGTTGGCAGGAATCCACAGTGGTTAGGGTCAAAGGGATGTAATTAAGATGGAAAGCGAAACGCCGGATAAAAAGCTCTCTCTAATTACATCAGCATAAATGTGCTGCAAATGTAACTGTCTGTTTAAATTACAGGTACCTAGACCTGCGAAAATTTGGCTCTGTTCCTCATGGAGGCTTCGGGATGGGGTTTGAACGCTACCTGCAGTACATCCTGGGTGTTGACAATATCAAAGATGTTATTCCTTTCCCCAGGTTTCCTCACTCCTGTCTGCTGTAGCTCAGCAGTGTGAAAACTGCCCGTGTAAGCACATGTATATAATATTGGCGTATGACTGAGTGCATTGTAGAGGAAAATTGAGAGAAACGTTGTATTGGGGAAGCTCTCAGTAAATTGGATACTGCCTTACTGAAAATAATATATGTTCCTGTGAGATAATAGAAGCATGCTTGCAGTTAATGTGATAGCAGTTCACATCTTTGGTGCATTTTGGGAGCATTAATAAATCCCACTTAACCAAAGAGTTAAGATTCCCATGAGCACAAACGATGGGAGTCCCGAATAAGTATTGTTCAGAGGTAGTGGGGGTTTGATGTGAAATATTCATAAGGAGGTGTGACCTGAAATGGACTGAGAGCCAGGTCTGTTGTGAGGCTTTAGTAGGCTTTAATTAAATGCCTGCACAGTGCTTTGAAGGTTGAGGATTGTAAAATTGCAGAGTATTGTCACTGCTGTGATGTACTTGCTCTTACGAAATGACAACTGTCTAAAGCGTGGTTCTCCCCACCCTGAGTTAAAAGCAAATATTGTTTACGTTGGAAAAATCAGCCAAACCTAGCAAGGAGAAATGTCATCCTGGAACTGCTGGAGTGAATTAGGTGAACGATGTTTGATTTTGTGAATCATCAATAAAGATGTACACTGGGTTGTTTTGTAACTCTTCATGCTTCCTTATATTGTTATAAAACCGTGGCACTCGGCATCATAGCGTTTCCTCGGTCTCCAGTAGATGTTTCTTTCTGCATATACACAAATTACTTACACAATTTCTGCAGGAGATACCTGTTCTGTGTGCTCAAACAACCACATTTTCATAGCAGAAATGTTCAGTCACATCCCAGTCTCTGAAGGCAACGTGCAGCTTTCTGGTGTTCGTCCTTGTTGCTTTGCTTTTTTTTTTTGGTGTTAAATATAAAATATAAATATGTGATGTGTTCATCTGGCCCAAACAGTTTTGTGTGTATTTTGAAACAACCACCATCCACTGCCAGCCATTGCATGTGTATTAAGTAATTGCTTATCTCTGTAGGATCTGAACTCCATGCAGTCTTTAATGGGTTTGTGCTCTCAGCCTCCCTGCCAGGTAAAGAAATATTCATTTCTGTTTTGAAAACAGGATTAAGGGCAGATCAAGTGACTTGCCCAAGGCAATTGGAAACCAGTGGTTTATTTGGGACTTGAACTGAGGGTTTCCAGCATCCCTTTTCCCTTCTAAATTATCACAATCCAGCAAATTGTCATTTGCATAGCACTTACTACTCTGTAGTCCAAGATGTCTGCAGTAAAAACAATTTATATAAAGAGAAAAAGCAAGGTAACAGCCTTATTGCTAATGAACCCCATGTAAACTGGCACAGTGAACGTGAAGTGGCTGCAGAACAGCCCCAAAGACTTTTCCTCCAAGCAAATGAAAGAGATTTAAAGATAGTAATCAAATAGCATTGCGCTGGTAACGTTGCAGGCACATTTTCTCTGCAGTAGGGCTCTGTAATGCTGCACCTGCAGTATCTAAAAATACATGTTTATGTTATGTGGCACCTGCCACGTTTTGGTTTGGTTCATGGCTGGGACTCTTCGTTATCACGATCATACACCACAAGGTCATTGCTTTGGGGTGCTTGGTGCATGCGCTGGGACATCTCCTGCATATCAAGATTGTTGTCATCTTTCTTTTTGGTTAGGCAGGCGTTAACTGTGCACTTGCTGGTTTGTATCTCCTGATGGTGCCTCAGTTCACAGAATCATCACAGAATCCTTAGAGTTGTTCATTGTGATTCCATGAGTGGGTTCCAGCACCTACCTTCCCTTTGAAACCACCACTTCCTACATAGGGCGCCGAAATATCTCCATGCATTCGAACTATCTCCTCCTTTAATGAGTTATCTTAAATGCCATCGCTGGAACACTGGCAGCAGAAAGATATAGAAAGAGTGCATGTGCCAATAGCCCCATCCAATACGATGTTCCTAAATAACATGCAGTCAGCAAGTGTGCCCATTGAGATCTTTAGTCCTTGAGTCTGTCACAGTCGCCATAAACGAGTGTTTGAACCAGAAGCTCACATGCTGACAGCAAAACCATCTCCTGTCCACTCAGCATTTGTCCCCGCAGCAGCTGCAGGGTGGCAGTGTTGATTTTGGCATCAGCAGGCTGTTGTCAGCAGGAGGTGGGTGATCAGGCAGCCAAATGCCAGATCTGATGGGCAGGGTGGGGCTAATGAGCGACAGGTGAAAAACAAGGTGTAGAAAAGAAGACAATGGAAGGTGCCAGTAAGTCAGAAGGTGATGTGAGACGATGCACAAGTCAGGGCAGGGATGGGAGTGTTTTAAATAGGCTTGTGGAGTGGTTATCGAGGCCTTATATGAGCTGACAGCTTGTGAGAACTGAAGACTGATGTGATCCACCCTTCATTCTTTGTCTTGAAAGAGGTTGTTGCAGGACAGATCAAGGTTGAACCTTTCATTCTGTTGATTGGTAAGCATGTGAAGTGATGTCAGGGGGGTTTGTTTTTTTGTTGTTGTTGTTGTTTTTGTCCTGGTTGTAGCCCTTGCAGAAAGGCAGAACTTGAAGAGAAGCATAGCAAGAGTGAAGTGTGGATGGTGATTCTTGTGATTGCAGCTACGTGTCCAAGACGAGCAGCTTCCCTGGTTGTGTGCGTGTGCTTCTGTTTGATTCAAGGCTCTTGGTGAGTTGGCAGAGCTGACCTGGTTGGCATTGCCCTTGGATCGAAAAGCTCATCCCAGGTGCAGAACTCATTCCAGTTTAGCAGAATGTCAGGAGAGCAGGGTTGTCCCCACCAGAGCTGATTGGTCAGGCTCAAAAAGGGGGGAAAAAAGGGTTGTGCAGGCTTGGAAGCAGCCTGGACCGTGCACCATTTTGCCTAGAGGGGAGACAGAGAAGGTAGAGCCTAAGACCTGTGTGCAATGATACCTTTTAGGCTTAACACCCCAGTGGGTGTTCTTGTAAGAAGCTTGTTTAATGGGTACCCAGCAAGGGTGGGAGCCACTCGTTCCCTCAAGTCTGGCATACTTCACCTCGAGTTACGTATAAATAGCATTGGCTGGTATTGCTAAGGAATGCAATGTGTGTTCTCTGGGATTTCCATGTGGAATGTCATGTATTTCCTTCGAGTCTTCTCTCCAGAATGAAAAGGAAGTTAATCGGGAGGATGGGGAGGTCGTTCCTCTTGGAGTTGCAGGCAGGGAAACAGAGTTTTTTAGATTTAAGCCATTTCCTTGCTTCATCTTTGCTTAGAATCTACAGTCTGGCAAGAGTTGAAGCCGGATAAAAACTTCTTTAAACAAAAAGCTGTTATTCTTTGCACACGGGAGCACAATAGCTCACATAGGGGTATTTTTAGTGCTGTAAGCAGTCCACTCTCAAGGCCAGGTAACCATCATGGTACTTTGGGTAAGTCTTTTTTTTGGACATTTCCCTTCCTTGGTGACCAGCACTGTCTCTTTTCAGCTTTGTCCTCACTTTGGATTTCAGAGGAAAGAATCGCTGTCATCAACGGCTGCATCTCTGGGTTTGTAGCATTAGGACAGAACGATGGGAGGGCAGCAGCCCTGGGAGTAAAACAGTGACCCTGTAAACTCAGAGAAACGTTTAAAGGATGGCTGTTCTCTCCCATATGATTTATGTTGTGTTACTCAGGCAGTGTGGAATCTTGGACTGTTGTACCACCTTCCATACAATCACAGAAATAAAAGCCCATCCCTGGGCCAAATGTTCAGTCAGCAGACTGGCACAGGGTTTCTAGCTGGCTTACCTGCATTGAAGCCCTCAGACACAAAGGAGAAACACAAGGTGCTCAGCTCAGCAGTCCTCTTTCCAGTTCATTCGGTAGTAGGTCTAAATTATAGAGCATCCCTTGAGGAAATGCCAGGAATTTGATGGGAAACGTAACGGACAGTTTTGTTTGCTGGACTAATATTGGTTGTTTTGGAAATAGCTTATAGTTGTGTTTTTCTGAAAGGGAAGAAGGGGACTAATTTGCCAAGAAACACTTTGGTCATTGTTCCGATTAAATGTGTGTATAGAGATAAATGAGACTTTGCTGCTGGATGCAGTGCCGCTCGTTAGTGCTGTTGTTTCAGCCTCTGTCTCACACTTAGGGGGAGATGGGTCCAAAGGAGAAGTAACATTTTGTATGAAGATTGTCAAAGTCTCAGTTTCCTCAGATCTAAGCAAAGCTACGGAAGCCATAAAATGGTGGTCTCAGGGGTGAATTTATTGTTTTATCATATAGTTTGTTGCAGAGCCGTGACCTTCGGAAGGATCGTAAAGTTTTATTTTACGATCCTGCTGGTAAAGAGACGTATATAATTTACTGTATGAGATCTTACAGGCTTGGCTAACAAGAAGTTTGACCCAGAGTTCAAAGAAATTATGGCTCCCATTGTTTTATGGCTGCTGCAAAATGTGTGATTAGCTGTCCTACAGCTGTGTCTCAATGTCCGCTGCATGAGGTGTTGCACAAAGATGCTTTCACATAAAAGGCAGCACCAGGCGAAGCTGTGTGGCCATTTAAAAGACAAATAGCAGAAATTGTAGGCTCAGTTATGGGTGAAATGTGGGTGAAACGACTTCAGAATCCTCGTTGCATTTAGTGCTGACGCTGTTTTACTGTGCAAGGTTGAGGCACGGAGCAATTAAGCAGCTTGCCCAAGGTTATGGAAGATATATGGCAGAACCATGGAACAGGCCAAAATCCCTACTTGTTGCTTCCCCGTGAGAATTCCCTCCACCTTTGGGTGCACCCACACCAGAATATTCGCAGCTGATCCGGTTTCAAATGCATTTTTGGCATTTCTAAGATCCCAGACAGCACTTCAGTGATTTTTATCTATCCCTATGTGTCCCGAGGCCTTTCAGATCTGGCAATGCAGATTTCACAGCGCTGCTATTTATTTTTATTACTCTTACAATTGATTTCTTTTTTTTTTTTCTCTGAATGATTTGAGGCAGCCAACGGGGTGTATTTTTAATTTTCTTTGCAAAGCTTTTTGCTTTTCACCAAGAGCTGTGTATCTCACTGTCTTCAGCAGCTTCATGCACTGATACTCCTATGTAATAATGTATTATTCTGTAACAGCAGAGGCCTGGATTCTCAGAAGCAGCCAGCCAGGGGGCTCGCTGGCAAACAATACACAAATGGCTCAGAAAAAATCTCGGTGTGTTCTGGGAGGTGGCCTTGACAAACATTGCACACATTTCTTTATTGGATCGTTCTGTGCTGCCACGTCTTCCGAGAGATGCCAGATTTCCAGCCACTGGGGGAAAACAGTTCTATTTCATGGACACGATGGCTTTATCGTTGTAGTTCTATGGTGTCTTTACTCCCAGAGTGATTTTGAGCATTGATTCAATGCTATCAAGGGGGAATGGTTTTTAACTAAGACAGGGGATGTTTAGGTTAGATATTAGGAGGAAGTTTTTTACACAGAGGGTGTGAAGCACTGGAACAGGTTGCCCAAGGAGGCTGTGGATGCCCCATCCCTGCAGGCATTAGAGGCCAGGCTGGATGTGGCTCTGGGCAGCCTGGGTTGGTGGTGCACATAGCAGGGGGTTGAAACTGGATGATCATTGTGGTCCTTTTCAACCCAGGCCATTCTGTGATTCTATCCTTTTAACCCTTTGAAGACCTCAGACTCT